TTGAGACGGGGAGTTGGGGGACGATTTGGTCCAGAGCTCCACGAACCAACGCGACGGTGTCGTGGAAGCAGTTGAATGCCGTGAGAGTTTGGCTCCTGTGCGTTTCCAATTTCACCTCAATTGCCTACAACAAATAACACCACGCATGGATTACTAGCCAAGTAACCAGTTAACAGAATCAGTATTTGCGGAATTCTGCCGACGTATGGCTAAATTGAGTTTGCAGTGGGATAGTGTAAGTAGCAGAAATTCATGATAACTTAGTAGGAAACAGTCTATTGGCGAAATATGTATCACACAACTCTAACTGATATTTAATACTGGGATGGTGGAAGCTTGTAGCATTTCTACTTGGTCAGTTGAAAACAACGGCAAGTAGAGTTATCGATCGGTCATTAGTGTTTATCCAATGAGAAACGAGCCTACCTCATCAACCTCGTCGCAAGTCAAGTAGACATTGATGAGGCCGTGGTTGAAGGAGAGTTTGCTGCCGTGGAGCCACTGTACGAGCTCTGACGCCTCCAGCGCCTCGTCTTCAGCGATCCGCGTGACAGCCTTTCTAAGTCGACACTGGATTCGAGGGAACACGTGGAGTAGCTGGGCACCAGGACTCCTGAATTGCACGCCCGTCCGTCTGGCGTCGTCACCGCACTCGCCCCAGTCAGCGCTGTCGAGATCTTGCACAAGGTTGAGTCGCGGTATCTCTAGCTGTGCCTCCTCGTTGTGGGCTGTTTCTATGGCAGTGCCAGCGACGGCATTCTCGTAGAAGCACTGGATGGAGCGCTTGCGTTGTTCCGACTGGCGTGGACTGTCGTCGTCTGCTGTCTCCGACGCCGGACACACTGTGCAGCATTCCAGGGCGGTCAACACGCTGACAACCGCGTTGATGTCGCTCTCGGTGATGAGGAAGTGGAGGTCGTCGCTAGTGAAGCTGCCGGTTACTCGGGCATGTCGAATGCTGTCCTGGGAGAAGAGATTTCCCACTGCCTCTACCAGGACCCACGAGGGGTTAAGGATGATCAGGTCATTGTCCTCCTCGGATTCGAGGACTATCAACTAAAAGGAGTTGCAGTTTACAATCCCTGAATGTCACTTAACACACGGAGATTGCCAGACGAATCGATGGCGTTGTGGAAAACTTACGTCGCCAGTGTATTGGTGAAATTGCACGACCTCTCGCAGCACAGCCTCCGTACACAGAGGATTAATTTGTGTTTGAACGAGGTGGATGAATTCAGGCCAGTACATAATTGGGGCAAATTGTGACCTGTTCCACTCCTCCAAGCGATTTGAGATCACCTCCGTTATCGCAGCAACCGTTGGTAGCTCCTTTAAGACAACTGGACAAATTCAGGGTGTGGAAAGGCAGTAAATGCAATTGCAAACCATTGGCAACTCAAATTACCTTCACCAATTTACTAAAACTCGCAGACGGACATGATTGGTTTGTCCTTTATCGATTAACTAGAACCCCATTTTCATTGGTTGATCGGCTGACGTCTTGGAGGCAGTTCAAAATTATGCAAAATGCCGGTGACAGCATTCTCATTAAAGCACTGAATCTCTCTCTGATATGTCATCTTGTTAGTTACATCTAATGCACTGAGTAAAACGCAAGGTTGTTCAAATTTTAGCAATCAATTCAGTTTAGGCTCTTCGACTGACAAACAAATAAATGCGTGAATCTGATTGGTCAAACGCGAAATTAAAACAACAGCCTCACCAATAGCACTTGATCCCTCAGTTTGAGTAGCTGAGACCTCAGAAACTTCATTTCCAGGCTGTTAGGCGAGTTAACATCCAGTACGTGAAGTTCTGGTTGTATGTCCAGTTTGTACCTAAGGGCAGGTATTTCACTTCAATTGACTGAATCTGAGTCAAAGTTTAACACAAAAAAGCATGACGCGTTCCCTAAATAAGATCATTTTGTTGAACGTTGAATTAGGCAAAGATCAGGCCCTAAATGTGTGGGAAATCTACAAGACTAAGAGCAGACGAGAGTTCACTAATCGGCTGTAATCACCACATAAATGACGTCCACAGTGCCCTCTAAGTGGATTCCGAAATTCCAGCTTACTTGAACTGTCTCCGACAGTCCTGTAGAATCCTTGCAGCACCACCGTGGTAGAGGTAGCCTTCGCCATCTCGGGAACAGTCCACTTCGTCGGCGTGCGTGGCGATGAGCACGACCTTCGCTTTCGCCTGGATCAGTCCGTCTGGCAAAGAGATTAAAGAAGATAATTAAATCGATTGTGTGGTCTGACAATAATTTACTTATCTGCCAGGTCGTCTTGCCAGGACACTATTCCAGTCTGTTCGAGGGTTCCATAATCCAGAGTCACTAGATCTACCTGAGTCAGAGGCACGCGATATGATTTCACCTTGTACTCTGGTCGATCTCCATTCGTGGTCTTGTAAGCGATGCGTTTTCATCACATTTGATGCAAATATTGCAAATGCTGATCGATTTTGTAATGCGAATTCACGCAGGACTCAAATATCGATTTTCATTTGATACGGGCTCGGCTCCCGGAATTGAATGGCGCGCCGAGAACTGGGAGCCAATTAACTCTCGAGTTTTTCGTCTCCATTGCAGCAACTACGAACAGACCAATGAGAGGATAGGGTGACTGGAAAGAGGCTATGTAAATACCCTGCTTCCCACTATGATGTTAACCCAGACTGTGGGTGTATTTAGCCTCTATTAAAGTTCTCTGAATTGTCTCTCAGTCTTGTTCTTCCTATGAGCCCGAAATCTACATCTGTGCAGTGCTGTTATAGAGGGCGGGCATATTAGATCACGTCTAGCTCAGCCAATTGTCCGTCGTTGTGCATTTTTATTGGCCTACGTAAAAGATCAGCAGCCAACCAGAGACAGGGACAGATAAGAAACACCAATTTTGCAGATTAGATTGGACGGCGCGTGACTGATGGTTCTAGCCTCTGATTGGTTTATCCAGGTTTTAATGTTGCGCATGTTCACTTCATAATCGATAGCCACCATCCAGTTGAATTGTGGCTTTGATTTAGTCATCGTCAATATTATCCTCAATTAGTTGGCCAGATCATTGATCGGAGTCTAGTGGAAAACCCCAGATTCACCGACTAACCGAATATCGACGTAACTATTCAACGTAGAGACGCAGTTAAACGGTTCGACACGGTCACCTTCTCCTCCTAATTGCCTTCGATTCCTTAAACCACTTCTTCTTCTTCTCCTCGTCCTCAGTCAGCTCCAGACCCTCCTTCGTCACGCATACCAACTTCTTACCACCATACCATCGTACATATCGATCGGGTTCAACATGTACAGCACCTCAAGGCCGCTTCAGAACTTCCGCGAAGGCCAAGTTCCAGTTCTTCTTCATCCTTAACACGCATTCCTTCAAACTCGTCATCTCCTCACCACACTGCGACACGTGGCAGCGGAAGGACTCTGTCACCAAATTGTAGGGGCCTAAATTAGCACTACCACAAAACCTTATAGATAACAGACGGTCATAACCCGAGAAAAGAGAAGGCAGAGTCGAAAGGGAACACGACCCTTTATTCGCGTCACGCCATTCAAGCCAAATCGAGTAAAATCGAGTAACTAACTACTGGATACGTATCGATGCGCATGCGTTACAGGCGACAATAACAAAGAGGATGAGTCATTGGTACAGTCGGGGAAGCATACACGCAGCACTCACGCGCGCGGTGGCTGTCTGTCCACTACGGCGCATTCACGGAAAAAAATCGATTGAGTTGCGTTCGCTCACGAATGCGAACTGTGCTGGCTTGCTGGTCGCCACACCATCTCACTTGTGAACAATCAAATCGATATCTTGATGGTCATCACTGACTCCTTGAGTGTTCTCTTCTGAGATCACAGCTGGATCTAGGTTCGTTCCACTTCAAACTCCAGGTTGTGTAATCAGATCGAACTTGGCAAGCATCGGTAATATGGGCGTGGCGTTATGCACTTTCTTAATATCGCATTCGCTGCGATCTCATCAGAGCTTTACAATAGTTTCGAACCACCACTAGACCTCATTTGGCTTAGCTCCGATTGGTTAGATTAAACCGAACGCACTTGAGCTAGGGGTTGGCGCTTTCAGGATGCTGACAAACGTTTCAGTAGCACGAATATATCAATTCTTCTTGTTGGGGTGACAGCGGAGTCCGTTGGTTGTAGGAGTTCCCTTCGTGGGTCTTGAACGGCTGTGCGTTTGAATGCGCTCAAGGTCATGCATATTTTAAGGTCACGGCGAGATGCGCACGCGGGAGCATGTCTGGATGTGTAAATTGTTGGCTACAAATAGCGCAGAAAGTGTATCTAGCACGTAATTTGTCAATTCAAATTTGAGCTAAAATTTCAACGTCACTCAAGTACGCTCACAACCATTCAATAGATGTGCTCTAAGGGTAGGTCTTGTTGACTGAAGATAATTCATGACCTCTCAGCACCTTATTAAATAAAATTAATTTAGCTGTAAGACATCATTTCAAAAAAAACGAGATTTATCGAGGGAAGGAAAGCGTTGCTATGGGCAAAATCAAACATTTCTCCGACATTGCGTCTTTAAATACAGAATTCGTGAAATAATCTGCTCCCTGAACACTGACATCATTTTTGAAAGTGGCGCAAATTCATTACTACATCGTTCGTTGTAAATTCCTAATTCAAACCCCTGTTAGTTATCACCTAAAATCGTTCACCAAGGTAATTTGCACGGTATTTTCGGAGCAGAAAGCTTTTCCTACGCTTGATGTCATGAAACGGCGGTCCTACGAGTTCCAGGTTGGCTAAAAAGCGTCCTCCTGAGGCTGACGTGATTTACACACGAGATTTTACAATGTGTACTGAAATAATGTCAGTAGTGGTACAACGTGGACCAAATTCAATACAACCTGATAACCCAGTCAATTGTGACATTCGCGTTATTAATGACCAGTAGCCACAGAGTGGTAATTATTGAGATAAGTAACTTATGATCACCTGCCTCATTAGATTCAGCTGCCATAAGTACGACTGTTTTGCGTATTCTGAAAGCTAAAAAACGATTAATTTAAGCAAAATATTTTCGTCAAGTCTTCGCATTTTGCAGACAGAAAGGTGCACTGTTTTTGCATTGTACTGTGGAAATGGTTTGACTTTAAAACGTCCAAATTTAAAAAAAAGCCGCGCAACTGCTAGCATCCAAATTTCTCTTTAAAATCGATTTTCAATTGTCGCGACACCTTATTAATTGCTTTTCCTATTTCGGAACAAGATTCACCAGGGTGCTCCCATCTCACACCTGCCCAGGGTGATTTTGTTACATGAAATGTGGGTGGTTGCCAGGTGCCCTGTAATTTGTCCACCAAAAACCCCTGATTTGTCGTCGCCTTCGCTGGTGCTGGCGTGACGGGCATGTGGAATCGTTGCTACGCCTACAAAGTAGCCCCTCGATCCTCGCTTCGAGTCGATTTTCTGCTAAAAAACTCGTTGTTTACTTGTCCCGTGGCTCCTCAAGAGCACCAGAATCGACAACTCGCCAATCACACGCTCGCTTCTGCTCACACCAAAAAATTGTCCTGGCCGGCGAAAAAAAACACGTGACATAGACAGGCGCACACCGACTTGGTTAAACGGGTAACGCTGCCAAGCACTCGCGCTTGGCATTTGTTCGTTCAACGAGTCCTACCTCAAACAAAATCGATTTTGTAGGGGTTTTGAGCCTGGGCAAAACTACCCACTTGTTGATTCACACACAACTTTTACCTGTTCGATGAATCCTTTCAAAATTTCCGAACATTTCAGCGGCTGGAACTAATTTTCCTGTTTGGTTGATCGGTGCGATTTTTAGAAAACCCACTAAAATCAAATCGTGTATCAGTTACTTGAAGTTGAAAATCGTGTGTTTCATTTTTAGCCAAAGTGCCACTGACACCCGAACAAAAACGACCGCAGTCATCAATGCGGCGTCACGTGCCACCTGCGCAAAACTCAACCGTTGATACAGACGCCAAGGCAGCCAATGGCGACGAGGCAGGCGTGGTCGTGAGAGCACGCGACCAATCAGAAGACAGCCTCGAGGAGCCTATAAAGACACACTTGCCTAGCACGCAGAGGTCTAGTGCTTTTGCTGAACAAGGCGATTCTGCGCCGCCTTGTCCATCTCCCCGCGTCGGTGGTTTTTCGAGGTCACTTCGTCAAGAAGACTCGCGCTTATGCACACACAACGTCCATCGCAGCCGTTCACTCGATGACATGTGCTTTCTTGAGCCTTTCTTTCACGCAATGAACACCTTCTGTCTTCAAGTGCAAGTCGAGGAACAGGTTGGAAGTCGGTGCAGTGTAAACGGCACGTTATCTGCGTCACCGAAGCATGAAACACAAGCTACTTCCACGCGCAGTCGCAAGGCAAAGCCGAGCTTGCAAACTGCGTTCGCTCACGAATTCTGACTGTGTTGGCTTGCTGGTCGCCACAATCTTCCGCTTTGGGCTGTTTTCGTGGTTACCTAGCCCTGTGTTCTTCAAGAACTGCTCGTAGAACAGCCAACATCCGAAATTGACACGATCACATCATCGTCATTCCAATAACCTCAATTTCCAATCACTCAGTTTCCCCTTGCATAAATTTGAAGTAGTTGCAGTGAATTCTTCGGTTCTACGAAGACGCTAGGTGGAACATCTGTTCCACAAACTATGGAACACTCTAATTACTTTGACAGCTTCACAGAGGGTTGTGCTAAGAAGAAATCAACGAACCTTCGTGTTGTGGCAGGCGACTGTGGATGAAGGT